TATTTAAAGAAACGAAAATTTATTGGCATCGAATTAGGGAAAAGATATAATTTTTTAATATTTTTTTATTATATTGTTACAAGATTGCTATAGATGAATTAATGAGATTCGTACGATTAAAATGATAGAAACAAGATTATATTTGTATTAATTTTCATATTGATTTCAAATTTATTGTAAAATGATCTGGTTGTATACTGTTATTGTACTCTGTCTTGTCTTATTCGCGCTATTTACTTCTCATGTTTCCCTTCAGTATAGTATAGTATAGTAAGCATGACAAAATGAGTGAGAATGAGTTTATTCGTGAAAATGTGGTCAAGTAAAATTCTAAACGATGGCCAAACTATAAATATAATAATCTCTTTCGTTTAAATTAAATTAATAAAAGAGTATAATTTATTTGATATTATTCAATCAAATAAAATTTCCAAAAAAAAAAATTCAAATATTTATTGAAGTAAATTAAAAAAAAAGTTAAATGAAAAGAAATTTTGAAATATTTGCATTTATAAAAATTATTTATCATATTCATATGTGAAATGAACATATAAATTATTTTTCACTACATTTACATTCATAAATATAAAAATTGCTTCCATTTTTCGCTTACATAAACAAAAATATTTCTTTATTGATTATATCATTATTTTCGATCTCAATTTAAATCACAATTTTCACTTTCAACTAATTGAATTGGTGTATAAGTATTAAACAATAATCAATGAATATTTATTACTTATTTTTTCCCCCCTCATTTTACAATTTTTCTCTTTATTAAAATTTTCGCACATGTAACACATTAATTGAAAAACATTAAACCATTTGCTGACACGATAACCTAATTCCTCTCAATGCAACGTGTGTAACTATGTATACCAATACATACCGATTTCATTCGGTTGCAATCGATCAACAAACAAATTCAGAAATGTATGTAAACATATAATTCCAACCGTGTAATTTTTTAGAAGAAAAAAAAAATTCAACGAAATCATAATATCCCTTTAACGAATCATTTTCGCGAGTGATGAAAGTGAAGAAATGCATCGAATAATTTGCTTTCGTAATATCTTTCGAACGGGGACACGGGTCTATATACATATCCGCGATTGGAAGAGAGGCGCGACGTGTTGTTATAGAGGTGGCGTATTTGTCGTGTATATTTTCAAAATGACCTCTCGCTTCATGAAGATACGTGTGTCAATAAAGTGTTGTAACGTCGTTTCCATCTCGTTCCCAATTTCCCTACTGATCCTCTCGAAATCCTTGAACTCCATTCAGACTTCCTGGAGTCTTGAGCCGTGGTTATTGGCCAAAGGCAAAAAAGAAACGAAGCGTCAGCTTTTCCCATACCGACTCATATGTCCTTTTTCGTCAACTTCTCGTCGATTTCTTTGATTCGTCTTGCTTGTTATTTTTGTGAGAATTATATTTTGTTTTATATTGTTCCCTTTTTTGACGGAATAAATTGACTATTGTTAATTATTTCTTAGATATTATTCTTATGGAATTGTTTGTATCTAGAAAATGTATTATGTTACATTCGTCATTTTGATTAGAGTAGTATTTTTCAACTTAGAGTTATGTAGAGTTATATTTCGAATAGAATGAGAAAATAAGAAGTGTCTTAAATATATTAAAACAAAAGTTGCAAGATTTGAAGAATACGAATATATAACTCATTAATTTATATTTTAAATTGTTAAAACAAATAATCTTTATCTGAAACACTAATTTTTAACTCTTTAAGATTATAAGAAATTATTATTTGAAATTTGCGAAACATGCGTTATTTAATTATCTATTTTTAAATCAAAATAGACATAATATCGTCCAGCAATTAAAGCTATATTTATAAACCACTTTAAATTAAACAATCAATTAAAGTAATCTATGTAAATTAAATTTTAATCTAGTAGAATTTGAATATGATTTTTAATTGTCAAAAGCTTAATTTTTATTTGAAAAAATATATATAATTCAAAATCACACTTGAACAAAAGAAACTTACATACATTCAATTTTTATAAAAGAATGAGTACATATAAGACGATGAATTTCTTTTCCAGAAAAAATTTTCAAAATTAAAAAAAAAAGAATAATTGTCTTAAACTTCCTATTGAAATCAATTTGCTAATTTATCACATATATAAAATAAAGATTATATTGTAATAAGTACAAATAGTGCAATTGAAAGAATGCTTCGTCAAATTATTTTTCATCTTCATTGTATTCCAAAGTCAAAAGTCATTATAAATCGGTCAAAAAAAAAAAAAAGAAAAAAAAATCTTCACTTCGTTACAACGATGATGGAAACGGAATATAATGAATCTTGAGAAAGTATACGTCAAGAGTTAAAGAGTTGAACAATCGTTTAGATGATTACGTTAACTCACTAGGGTCTCTTCGTGAATTGATTCGTGAGAAGGATGACGTGTGTAACCATTACAAGACTTACGAGCCGTTTAAGAGGGCTCAAATTGACCATTTCTCTTTTCATGCTACACGGTACGTGGGTTATCGATTTAATATCAGGCAGACCAGTAGGCCGTGCTTTCCGCTAATTCTCTCCAGTGTAGACCAAGAGACGCCTTTTACCTGGTTACATCAATCCTTACTCGAATCCATCTACATTCTCGTGT